CCTCACTACTTTTACAAAGTACGTGGGTGAGCACTTGAAAGGTCATAATATTCAAGGCTATAGGCCAAATGCCGGAAAGTGGGATAAGTGTAGATTTAGTCTAGATTTAGAGTTATAGAGTTGTACAGCAAGGAAACAGACCCTTTGGTCCAACTCATCTATGCTGATCAGAAATCCTAAATTAATCTTGTCCCATTTGCTAGCATTTGGCCCATTGCCCTCTAAACCTTTCCTATTCATGTACCCATCCAGATGCCTTTTAAATATTGTAATTGTACCAGCCTCCATCACTTCCTCTGGCAGCTCATTTCATACGTGCACCACCCTCTGTGTGAAAAAGTTGCCCCTTATGTCTCTTAAACCTTTCCCCTCTCACCTTAAACCTATGCCCTCCAGTTTTGGATTCCCTACCCTGGGGAAAAGACCTTGGCCATTCACTTTTTCCATCCCTTCATGAATCTCTATAAAGGTCACCCCTCAACCTCTGATGCCCCAGGGAAAATAGCCCCAGCCTATTCAGCCTCTCCCTACCGCTCAAACACTCCACCTTAGCAACATCCCTGTAAGTCTTTTTTGAATCCTTTCCAAGTTTCACAACATCCTTCCTATGGCAAGGAGGCCAGAACTGAATACAGTATTCCAAAAGTGGCCTCAGCAATGTCCTGTACAGCTGCAACACGACCTCCCAATTCCCAGACTCAATGCATTGACCAATGAAGGCAAGGATGCCAAACACTTCCTTCACTATCCTGACTACATTGGTCTCCACTTTCAATGAACTATGAACCTTCACCCCAAGGTCTCTTTTTAGACTAGATTTACACTTAGTGTAGATTTGGCTGGTACAAACCCAATGGGCCGAATAGCCTCTCTTGCATTGTAAGAGTTAATTATAATGGTAAATTTATGGTGGAACAAATACACAATGTTTTAAGAATGACTATTTCGAATGAATTCAGTTTGCCAGCGAGCTGTGCGCTTTTGCTCTCCACCTTCAGTGTTGCAATGATCTGGCACTCTGTACCGGGCTGCAGTTTCTCACTGAGCCAGCTGGCACTATCCCGGAGCAGGGCGGCGATCCTGGCCGCTTGCCGAGGCGTGTCTTGCCCGCAGCCCTGCAGGTACCGGTCCAGCCCGTCCAGCAAGAGCAGAGAGGGCAGCAGGCTGCGGGGGCTCTCATGCAAGCACGCTAACGCTTCCAGCAGCCCCTCCGCCGTCCTGGGGTAGGCGAACTGAATCCTCCGGAGGCTACCGGGCTCCAGCAGCAGCAACGGGGCGGGCAGCGCTTGCACCGGGCTCGGGGAGAGGAAGAGCACTCGCCTCCCCCACTGGCCTGCGGCTTCGGCCGCCACCAGGAACAGGAGGGAGCTCCTCCCGGGGGACTCCTCACCCAGCAGCAAGCAAGCCCCTAGGTCCCTGGCTCCCCAACCCTTGGCCATATCGGTCCTGCTCTCTGCCTCACTGTAAGAGCAGAGAATATGCAACAAAGCCTCCGCCATCCCTCATTCAAAACTGATGCACTTCCTGGTTCACAAGTAACAAAACCCCACTTTGGATACTTTCAATGTATCCATTCCCAGGACCTCAGGCTGCCGTATACTAAAGCAAAGTTATGCTAAACTTCCGAAAACACTTGGGTCCAAATTTGGAATATTAGCTTCTTAAATGCTATTAAGATTGCCCAATTTAACTGCAAATTTTTTTGAGGGTTTCATCCGCCTCACAATCTCCCTCATTGGCTGTGCAAACTGTTCATTAAGTTCTGAAGCAGTCACATGAGCCTGCAAACGTTAGTCCCTGTTGCTTTCCCTCAGGTACAGCCAGACCTGCTGGTTTCCATTTCTTTAAGTAGGTGATGCTCAACTGCCAAAGTGCATTCCCCGACCCACCCCTCATTCCCACTATTTTTTTGTAAAGATCTTTTAAAAAAAAATTAGAAAATATAGAGATAGTAGGAACTGCCAATATTGGAGAATCTGAGATAACAAGGTGTAGAGCTGGATGAACACAGCAGGCCAAGCAGCATCAGACCC